GGGCCTTCGCTTAAGAAAAGTGCCATGCTATCGTCAAGTGTACTGCAAACTTTAAACTGACAACAAAAGCGCGATGCACCGCCGTTTGCGGTAACCTCGTGAGGAACCACTTTTGAGAGTGCGACGCGGAAGCTGAGAAAATTCACCTCACCAACTATCTCGTTAAGCGTGTGCGTATGGCACCAAGTGATAAGCACATGGTACTATGTGATAATGCCTCTTGACGCGCGCAACCACGAGTTATTAGTACTGCCCATGTTAGCCTGTTCTACCTTTTATTTATTATTGATGGCCATCGACTTGTGATAGCCACCCGCACAGCCCCACGATCCATGCCAACGAACTGCCGTATGAACAGAGGTCAGATTTGTTGAGAAAAAAGAGAAAGGAGTATGGCAGTCCCACTGGGGAAGGACCGCTGACCGAAACACCAGTCGAACGTAAAGTTAAGCCTAAAGCTCGTGGAGCCCAGAGCCGGCACGCAGTGGTACCTCTTAAAACACTCGTTTCGATTTTCAATTGCAAAACAGAGCAGTGTTGCAACTCACCGATGAAAACTGTGCCACATGATCACTGACGCGCCATAAGTCACGAACAAAGCACCGAGGTGCCTGTTACAAGTTCTGTGCACTACGGGTTCGCAAATCGTGAAAGTTTCATACCGTGCACAAGAGGCGACTATTTAGTGCCGTACCAAGTGGGTCCCTCAATACCTGGAGACACCGATGTGCGAAATGCGCACGCTCAAGTGAGCACACACAGCGGTGTCGACATGAAAGCAGCAACGCCCGAGGAACATGCTACAATCTACATACAACAAATAACCTGAGAGTCAAAATCATGCTAAGCATGCCATTCGGTTAAGATGGCTAACTCGGTAGTTTTCACAAAGTGACAGTGGTGCCTGAACACACAACCTAGCTAGCAGAAGCAGCACACTCAATGCAAGGCAGCACACTTTTGAGGGGTCACGAATACTTACAACAGTCCACGAAAGATTATAGCGACACCGTGGCAGCTTCTTTCGTCACCAGAAATGTGTCAAGTAAAAAACATGCGAGGCACGTCTTCTTGGTATTCCTGGTGCTGCCAAGAAAATCATGTAGTCAACTCAACCAAGCTGAGGTTGGCATCAAAATTCTTGCTTGTTTCGGAGCAGCTCGGCACAGTTTGCACTATTTTTATGCTTTTGGAGCAGCTTGGCACAGGAAAACTAAAACGTATCAAACATACGTAATATACACAGCAGTCTCACCCCAGCTTGAAGTTTTGTCGTCTCACCGATAGGTATCCCCTGTGGTCAGCAGACCGATGGGCGCACAGCGTTGTTACTTTATCTGGTCGATTGCGTGTCACTAGTGTCTTCACCTAATGAGCACATACTTTGCATCGTGGTTTAGGGTTAGCGCGTACGTGCTTCGAGTGATGATGCGGACTTTAGATGAACAACGTGGCTTTTATTTCTCGCAAAAATTAGCGCACCTAGGAAACTTTTGTGGCTGGTTGGGCATTTTGGTGCAGTGGGGCCCAATTTCAGCAAATTTAATGGTTTAACTAAAATAATTACTGTAGCTTTTATGGTTATGAAGAAAAAGTACATAACATTGGCCTAAAATACATGGCAGGTATAGGGCTTACCCTGTTCCCTTAAGGGGAGACCCTGCTTCGGAGATAAATGTTGCTTAATTTCAAGCCGATTTTTATGAAACTTATGCACCTTATGTATTTTGATATGCAGATTTCAAATATGCAATTCTTTTTTTGGTGCATTATATAGTTTTCGAGATATCACATTTTTCAGGTTCCTTGGAAGGAGGAAGTCTGTTTTTTTTACTGTGATAGTTACAAAACAAATCAACATACCACTATAATCTAGAATGATGGCTGTATGCAATAAAACAAACATGAATGTTCTAAGCCCATTTGAACAAAAGTTATGGCATGTCAAATTTTTGGAAGTGAAATCCCAGCTTGACATGAAATCGTTAAATGTGATTTTTAAAATTATGTCTATTACTTACAATATTCAATTCAGTCTTATTTCAATCTACATTAGTTTACCAAGCTGTCAACACAAGAATTAGAGTAATATCATGACCAGAAGCTGAAATATCGCTTCTCCTAAATAGCAAAACCACCAAAATAGCCATTTTGAGAAAACGAGGAAAACGTTTTAAAAGTTGTTTATTAGCAGAAAAATAGTGTAAATGTCGCTGAAGTCATTCAAAATGACCCAGGTGCATAATCAGGATGCATGGAGTCTTTATGCTTTTTTGCGACATTTTTTTTCAGTCCTTCTGATGCTGCATGCCTCTTCGTGGACATGGCACTCCGACGTTTGTCTTTCTCTGCTGTTCGCATCTTGCCAGTGTTGGTTGCATTCATTCCAAGTTCTTGCAGAATTGATGCTGCAGAGTGTTTGTTTCCTGCATTGAAACGCAACACAGCTTCAGCAACTGCTGCTTGCACAGCAAAAAGGGAAGAGTGCTGCTCTTTGGAGATCAGACTCCAAATAACTGAATGCAAGCTTTCATTCGAGTTTTGAGTTTTCCCTCTTAGACATCTTTGCAGCAGACTCCTGTCAGACAGACGTTCGTAAACAGGCAATAATGCCTCTGCAACTTCTTTGGGCAAGTTGTACTTGTGTTTTGGCTCGTGCATACCTTTTGCCTTTGCGGCATTGTGCCGGCACCAAGACTGCTCGCCTGTGGGGCACAAACTGTGATTCGAGCTTTCGTCAGTGGATGTGATGTGATGGTACGAGGCCATCACAGCTCGTTGAATTTCATCCACATCCCCTTGATGTGACTTGAGCGCACGACCATAGTAGGTGCTCAGTCTGGTGATGAGGTCGGCAGTGAGTCGCCCCTTTCCTCCCAGACTGCGGCCTTCAGTTTTCTGCTTTTGAACTAAGTTCCCCAGAGCCGTCCCCATTCGCTTTTGCACATGATTTGTGCAGTCTTCTTTCTCTACGTCAATAAAACCATAAACTTTGGCATCCCTTATAGCATTGTACGTTCTGCTATCGCCGTCACACAAGACTGTCGTATAGCGGAGATTGCGCCGCTCAAGGGACCTTTCAAAAAGAATGAGGCCTTCTTCTACTTCCATTTGCCCAGATTTACAACTGGTGTTCTTCTGGCAGCGATGAGCATCTTTCCATTGCTCATAACCCTCGCTACCGGGTTTCAGTCCCACATCACAGCCTAAACAAAAATTTGAAAGTACGACGTAATCGAGAACATAACCAGTGAAGAGTTCAATAACTGCTCCGACGCCAATGTGCGAAGAGTGACCCCGGGTCATCCAGCTCCCATCAAAACACACTGCAATATTACCACGGTGACCAAAGCACAAGTCCTCGTAGAGCGACGACACTTCACGCGCGCACTGCTGCATAGCATCTTCAGCTGCTCGCGTAGCAGCGGGCTCCAGCTTATTTTTCAGATGCCGCTGAAAAGTCTTTTTATGCATTGCGCGACTGCTCAGCCCCATTGCGGAAAATATGTCGTTCATCGCAGTTTGGCCGTTACCAGTCGAAAGCATCGCGCGTCCCGCGAGCATATTTATCGCAAATGGTCTTGATCTTACCGAGTGTTCCACTCGACGCGAGCTCCAAGCATCCCCAATATCGCCACAGTTGTCGCACACCGCGTGTAGCTTCACTGCCAAACCGTACTCACGATCTCCACGGGTTAGCTTGACTTTTCCTCGGCAGATGTGACAACGCATAGTTTGAAGAATAAGATCATTGACAGCGTCAAGTTCGACGATGGTGTACGGAGCTGCAGGTTCCGTCGCCACAGTCTCTGCGCCGCTTCGTCGGCTGAAGTTTTCGATCTTCCGCGCGGTCGCTGGTGTTGATCCAAGCTGTCGAAGCACTTTTTGCTCCCGTGCATGCGCCCCCCGCACTTCCTCCTCGGTCACGAGCGCAGAATCTAATCTCGCATCACCAGCGTGGGTTGCGAAAGCATTATCGCATTGCAAGGCTGGCGCCGATGAACCGCCAGCGTCCGTGGCATGGCCAGGCGATGCTCCGTGAACGGCTGTCTGCGACGATGCCGGGTCCTTTGCATGCACTTTTCCCCTTCCTCGTTTACGCCCAAAGTGGTGGCGCGTATGGAACTTTTTCGCACCGCCAGGCATGATAAACTTCGTGCGCCGATCAAGCGAGCAATCCACAGAGCGGCGAATCGAGCACAACGGCGGTAGGCACACGCTGTCCGAGTCAAAATGGCGGCGCACGATGGCGGCACTTAGGCCAATCAGAGGACAGAATCCTGATCACGTGCCTCATTTGACCAATGGCAACGCGTGAAAGTTCTTTTTTGCGGGTGCTTTTTTCTCGTTTCTCAGGGACGCACAGGGTTGCCAAAGGATAAAAAAAAAAGTCTAAAACGCAAGCTATTGAACAACACCAAAATGGCGCCGATGGAGCGTACCGTTGCCAAGCGGCGCGCGATCAAAATGCAGGGTATTTTTGCACATTTTAGAGAGAAACGCTCGTAAAACCGCATCTTTAGATCTTGATAACAGGAAAAATATGCAGAATTTGGGAATCAAATTTTGTAGAAAGGTGCGGAAACGCGTCAGGAACACGAAAATTAAGAGAATGAAAATTCGATTTCTGGGCAGATTTTCGGCTTGAAAAGCCGGGTCCCCCCTTAAGTGAACAATTTCCTTGGGTCCCTTGAAGTTCACCCAATTGAGAGTTTACTGTACGCCCATTTTTTTCTTTATTATATGTGATACTTTGAATTAGTTGCAAAAGTATTCGATCAAATTATTGCTTGCCTCGCAAATTACTGTTTACCATTTGCAGAAGCCACTGCACATCGCATTGCAGGTTTCGTCAAAGACAAAGTCTACAGAGACAAGTGTACATATAGGCTCATCAGTAAAGGCAATCAAAGAGAAATGCACATAAGCATGCCACTATGCATGTTGTGACACCAGCAGATACCACTGAATGGTCATAGTTGTCTGCAAGCCTGTCATACCCGAGTGAAACGGTTGAACTCGGCTCAAGGTCTGAAGAATCCTCCGGCGGCCTCCTTAGCCCCTTGGTCTGTTCGGTTGATGGTGGGGGCGTGCCACTTCGGCCGCGCACAGGCGGAGGAGGCGGAGGAGACGACAAAGACGATGTGGACGATGACGACAGCTCATCTGCCGGTGTTGGAAGGCTTCCACTGGGTTGTGCAGGCACGCTCGCAGTCGATGAACTGTGTTTAGAAGCATGTCAGCACTCATTGTAGATTAAAAAGTATAAGCCTCACCACTGATCTCAGACATTTGTTTTCACCTCTGAAAATAACTGTGAAAAAGATAAGTGTTAGACTTCTCTTGCCATGAAACTTCATTCACAGTGATTGTAGCTGGCACAATTAGTCAGTTACATTGCATCTGGCAAGGTGTAAATCGCATTTCAGCTTTGAGAAAATCTAATGAGACTGTAAGAAAGAGCCTATAAAAGCTTGTAATTTATCTGTTGAACCTGTAAAGCTATTCTGCTATAACATACTATTTCACCACAGCATATCGCATTTACTTGCGTAATGAACGCAATCGCATAATAAACGCACCCCCAACCTCAGTCATCAAAAGTTAAATTTTTTCCCCCTCGCATAATAAACGCACCCCCTACATTCATCCCCTGTAGTCCGGCTAACCGACACGTGGCACCTCCTCACCCGCTGGATCTCTTCCAGTTTTTATTACTTTGCCGACCCTCCTCAACCACCTCGGCTCGCTCCCTCCCCCTCACCCATTGCCCTGTGCTTATTGCTTTTCTATCTGTGCACCCCACCTCTCCCGTCTTATCTGTGTGCCACAGGGGTTCATGAGCGGTGCCAGTGTAGCGACATCGCAGCTGATAAGCACACAGCCAGAGCGAAGGTCACCAAACTACTTGCTGCATAGACATCATAATTTCTGACAACCGATTCTTATTTTTTTTTCTTTTGCTATTTTGAGACCCTCACCTCCATCCAAAGTGGATGCAAGATTCTCTCTCTCTCTCTCTCTCTCTCTCAAACACACACACACACACACACACACACACACACACACACACACACACACACACACACACACACACACACACACACACACACACACACACACACACACACACAATGAAAAGGTTAAGGGGAGGTGCGATTAGAAAAAAAAAGTTGCATTTTATAATAAGCTGCACACTATTAGTTTTATGCCATGACAATATGGTGTTTTTGGTTTTGAACATTTTATGCCATTAAATATTTATTGTTCTCAACCATTACTGGCTCATATTGCTGTACATTAACTGTACATTAACTGTAGAATGAAAATAACTATCAAGAAAGTAAATGTAAGACATTTTAATAAACAAGAAAAACTGATGTGAGAATGCTTAGAATCCTCAGCTCAAACTAATTGTTCACTTTAGGTTTAGAATAATTATACAGGTGTTATCAAGTTTCAAAAAGGATATTCGCACCTTTCACATAATTAACTCTAATGTTACCACGCCTATTCAAATCGATCACCGGTGGTCGACGCTTTTCGGTCATAAATTTTGGCATGTTAAATTTATTTCTCGCGTGCCCCGCAGTTTCTAGTAGTTAGTTCAGCCACTCAACTTTTTGAACTTTTTTGCATTTTCCGACTTGGACAACATAGCAATTATTGACAGACTTTTGCACGATCCAATGGGCGTGTGTAGTTGGAAAAATGCACTAGGTTGGCGAACTTGACAGAAGTGCGCCCCTCGTGATTATGCTACAGTAACATCGAAGTTCTGCAATGAAAAGAAACTCTGCAAGCCAAATATAGGATTGATGTGTTAGCTCTGCAATGTGACTGAGTTGAGCAGTAATAATTGTCAGACATTCATGCCAGCTAATCAATAGAGAGCTGTTGCTAGAAGTCAGAAAAGATTAATTAAAAAAAAAAGTATTTCTCAAGGTCTGCTGCATGTATAAAGTGTGCAGGTGGCTCTCACAGCCAGTTCCCAGCCACTTTGGTTTTGCTTGTATCGTTATATCAAGCACAGGGTCACATCTAGTGTCACTAGTTGCTGTTATTACGCGGTTGTGACGCGTGCATTAGTGCGCACCAGTGCTGCAAAACACATGCGCTGCTTGAAACTGTTTTGCAACACCTGAATTGAGTGAGAATGAGCTGAGATTTCTTGGATGACAGCACCTCAGCTTCAAGTTTTATGGAGACGATGTTTTGCGTCAGCCTGAGACATACGTAGCCGTTCATGGGTTTGCTTTGTTTACATCCTCAAGTTGTCACCTCCATCGCAAGTGCATATAGCTTCTGACCTTTGTGCATAATCTTATAGTTACTCAGGTTACGTGCGTGGTTGATACTTCACTAGGTCGCGATGTAGTGGCACTGGCTGCAGAGCTTCTCCTAATGGCAAGAAGGCTCCTGGAGTACATCTTGGCCCTGACTGTGGGGCAGTGCGAAACATTTTAGAACTGCTCGTGATATTGTCCTTTTTTTTATTATGATACGCACAAAGATGCAAAGGAATATGCTTGAATGCATATATTGGAAAGCCAACCTATGCGAGTGAGGTGGCTCATGGAAAGAGGTGACGCTAAATGAAATAGCAAAGTTCATTGGACATCTCATTTATATAGGGATTATTCACATCACGGGTTTTTATCTATATAAGGATACGTAGAGACTCTTATTGCAAGGTAATGAGAAATGACTGAGAAAAGTGTACGAGTACACTTGTGTTTCCCGAAAAACAATGCAATGCTTTACCGCATGGCACGAGCAATGAAGCAACACCTCGGTTTTGATTTTCTTTGTCTATGTGAAGAGAAACATTTGTACAACATTGGTTATTTTTATACTGTTCCTGAGTAATTTATCTACAAAATGTTCATTCTGACTTTTCTTTGTTTTGAATATTTTTGTATTTAGGTATAGATCACTTATAACGTATGTCGCGGGAGTCGCGAATATCCACACTATAAGCGGTACCGCACTATAACCGAAGAAACCTTTTTCAAGGGCCGCACTGGTGCAAAACGTGTTGAGCATGCAGCTTTGCGTGTCCAAGAATCGAAACGTGCGATGCGTGCTTGTCAACATTTAAATTACTGAATGTTGAAAGAATTTAACGTCCAAAGACATGCGTCGCCAATGAAATGAATGCGAAAGGGGGAAAGGGATTCTAACAAATGAAAGCACCATCATGAAAATTCGCTGACTAGCAGACCGCTTCGATTATGCGCATTACACAGAAACCATGTCGAATCACGTCCAGAATTTCACGTGTTGAAAGATGCCAACCATTCGATTTCTTGGGAATGCACCATATTTAAGACAATGCAATAGAGTCGCGAACCACTATTTGAGCGCTACATGTGCCGCCCTCGTTTTCATTTAACGATATGTATCCTTCCCCGCAAGCGACCGGTAAGCCGGCAGGTGGCCACAGTGGTAGCCTGGTAGCCGTGCCGGTGCAAAGGCTTATCCGTTGCCTAATCAACCTCCCTCCTGACTCAGTGAGCTTGTGCAGCATGCCATGATCCATTTTCTTTTTCTACCACACCCTTCGGTCATTCACTCCACGTCCCCTCCTCCTCTGCGGTGGTGCGAATGCCTTCCAGCATTTCAGAGCCGCCACTGAAGCAGGCAAAATCTGATTTTGGAGCAGCTACCTCTGTGTTTGGAGCACGCATGGGCTTTTTATAACACAAACAGAGGAAAAGTTTACTTTAATTCAGTTCATTGTTCCACAAGTTGACATAATTTATACAAAAGCAGCAAGCCCACAAATTAAACACAAACAATAAACAAAATTATGAATAGGTACAGAAGCGGTGACATAAAGCAGTGAAGGATATTGTACCAAAAAGCTAGCAGCATGTAGTGCACAGCAGCGCGCGTGCACACACACACACACAGGCACACACACACACACATTCAAAGAACGTTACAGCAAAACCTTTCAATACGTACACACATGCAGAGAACCTGATGGGAACATGGCTAACTATGTGCTAAACGTAGCGTGCATTACCCACTAAGTACATAAGCATGTGCAGGCTTCCCATTCAAGGGGGGAAGGGTGGGGGGGCAAAGGTTTGTTGTAGCTCCACCAGCCTATCATGTCAATGTGTGGGGCTGACTTTGCACCGCCCTCCCTATAATGCGACTATGGAGCTGGCTTTGTGTTCTTTGCACGCACAAAGTACCAATTTGCATTTTTCTACATGTGCCATAGCCGCTAAAGAAGGAATAAATACAGTGCCACAGCAGTTATTGCCTCAAGTGCCCACCACAAAGCCATTTTGTTTCTTTTCGCCAAGGTTGAAAGTTATTGGCATTCTCACACGACCGTTGGATGGCATGCGGTGGCGACACTGAAGAGCATTTCAAAACTGCAGAATCCGGTATACCAGTCAGAGTCTGAGATGGCGACGAAACGGACATAACCGGCTGTCCCTCATAAATGTGTGCCGCGATACGCTACCTAGTGAAAACGGGCACAGTTTTTTTAGACTCCGTATGCTCGCAGCGGGCTGATGGTTTACTGCCTAGTTGCGTGCAGCGCTTAGCCTACTTGGCGTACACACCGTGCCGAGCCCCTTGCGCCCACTCTGCTGCAGATTGCGCTGATGTAAACAGAAGCCTGTTGCCTTAATGCGACTCTGCGAGCTTTCTGCAAGCGATGCTCTAGCAGTCCTGGCAGCAGACGAAGGTGCGTTTGGATTGCCGCCTTCTCATGAAAGCGTGTGCAACGCTTGCTGTCTCGGTATCCGCGATCCATAACACCCAACTCCGCAACAGGAAGCTGCTTACATTTCTGTAAAGTGGTGCACGCTCAAAACGGTCCAGCACAACGATTCAGGCAGTAGCAATCGGCGCTTCAGCACTCTCAGCTAGTCGGCAGCTATTAAAAACATGCAGTACGCTTTTTGTCGACGGTATGTCATACTGGTGCGCTTTTCGGTAGTTGCCACATCACGCCTGTTCTCTGCCAATGGTTACCAGAAAAGGCACCATTGTAATCGCACAGAAGTCAGAATAATCCATTGGCCTATTCCGTGCTTTTGCAGCAGCACAAATGCAATGCAATGCAACAGCGCCAGCGTATAAAGTAGCGACCATCACGTAATATCCGCTCATGATGCATGCTGTCATCATTACACTCTGTTTCACAACCACCTTATGGTGCAGAAATGGCACAAATTAGACAAAAAGAAGCCTTTTGGAGCCGTATGGCACAGTAATCTCCAGTTCCCACAGGTTGGCGCACGTTTTCCACCACTGTCTTTGTAATGACTTTGTCGCTCGCTACCCATTGACGTACCCAGCGTACTTCCTTTCAGAAGCACACTCACTACCACGTTTGTCAGAAAAGATTTTTGGCAACCACATTATAACCGGTCTTTGATCTAGGGTGACTGCACATAAGCTTTGTGGGAGTGTAAACAGGAGTCGAAAAGGAAAGCATCGTAACTGGTTCTGCCCCACAAGCTGTCAATTTGTAAGTGGGAACGAGGGATGTTTATGTTAACACGAGGGAACTTTCGAGTGTCGGTTACGATTCGGCACTGCAGTTTATTTTATCATAACAACGATCTTGCTTCTCAGAGAGCCAGCCCGCCATCACTCTATGACCTTGCCGCCTGGTCATGCTTCCTCTGTAGACGCAAAGCATTGAGCCTGCTTGAAAAATATCGAAATTCCCTTTTGGGAAAATGAATGTATCCGTATGAACTATTTGGTAAGAATTTGTGGCACAGTTACTTGTGCTCCTCTGAACAACACAAAAACAAAAACGTGTTTTGCCCCTGTCCCACTATTTTACGAGAAGCGCTATCGTTACTTTAACTTCAAATCTTGCATACAAATAAGAACCATTATGGAACACTTTCTTCTTCTTTTGTTGAAGAACAGAAACAGAACAGAACTTTTTGTAATAAAGTGATATTAAAAACAGAAACGAAAAACACTTCGTTCTGACAGCCTGGTCCAAACCACCATTGACAAACATGCTCATAATTACTTTGCTGAAATTTGAGCAATTGATAAATGGTTGTGACTAGTCGGGCATTATGGCACAGTGTGGTGCTGCTGTTGCACCCCTGAGCAACTGAGTTCACAAGGCCGCATCCGGAAAGACCAATCATTCGCTAGCAATTTTATGTCGGGCCCGATCTTTCATAACGCAATGAGTTTTGTTCATGGTAATAGCAAGGCCTCATGTGATACTAAAGGACCGCCTTGCTTATTGTGTTCTTACAAGCAGAGTTCCATTCGTATCATTGAGACTCAGGGCTTGGCTACTTTTGCAAGCTGTTCCTATGACAGCAAAGGTCATCACAGTAACTAAGGCACAAACTGAGTAAAAGAGGCAGGAATGCTGAGCTGACGTCTTCATAAGTAGAAGATATCATTAGACTGAAAATCAACAAGAGAAAATAATTCCGAAGAATGAATTCCACCGTTCTTACCGTCGTGATGGCGGTGGTGAAGGGGTCAGCCTGTCGTCAGGGGGAGGGGCAATCTGAAGCAAGACAACAAAAGAGCAGGGCGTTAAAAGCATCCTGGAATCAACTGGTATGCATAATAGAAGGCCTTTTCCATTTATCATCATTCAACAGGTTCACTGTTCACATGCTTCAAAACCTGCTACAGAAAAAAGCCTCCTCAAAGGCGGCATGCAATTGCAGCTACTGTAAGCAACATTCACAACTAGGAATACCAGCTGTGGCACAGCATTCCCTTCTTTCTGTCGCTGCACATCACGACATCTGTAGTTGGTGGCTTTTAGTATTCCAATCTAGGCCAATAGTTTTAAATTTTTTTTTTTTTTGCATCAACTCATCAACTCCAGTGTTTGCTCAGATTCGAGAATTTCGAAAAACGTGCGATTTTTTTTTTTGTTACAAAAGTGGTGTACAACAAGCGCCACCTACACGGTATCGTACATGCGAGGCCACCATTTTGATCTTTGTGGCGAGTGTTGAGGCCAGCCGTTTGTTATTTCAAGTTGTGCTTCGAATGGTTTGTGTGTGGCATAGCTCAATAGTGCCATACAGGTGGTGTCAGTATAGTGCCGCTTATAAGAACAAAGCTGTCCTAGCCGTGGAGTCGTCTTATGTTCAAGTCGGGCGAGACTTGGGAAAGGACAAAAAAGTGTGCGTCGCTGGGGGGGGGGGGGGGGGGGGCTGCAGTGTAGGACGACAACCCTGAAATTTTGAATGTGCACTCTTTATGAAGTACGTCACATCTAATGCACTTGACGACATCAAAGATTGCACTGTTTGAAGACAGCGACAAGGGAAGGAGCGACAACGACTCACAATGAGCGGCATCTTTACGATGCAAATAACTAGAAGCAGCGTGAAAAAAATGGCGACAAAGAATACACACAACAGAACTCGCGGCTCCGTGTTTCTAGAGTTACAGTAGACTCTTAGTCAACAGAAATCTGTTAAACGGAACTTCTGCTTAAATGAAACTATCGTCTCTCTAATGCTTGGTTTCGGACTTTTATGTGCACCCATGTTCACCTCTCAGTAAACGGAACTCCTGTTAAATGCAACATATTTTCCCAGTACCTTCAGGTTCCGTTTACTGAGAGTCTGCTCTATTTACATCATGAACCAACTGCTTTGTTTCATATTCATGTTCAATAGATGTTTTCTCTTTGTAAACACTGTTTCTGTCAACCTGCATTCGAGGCATTTTTTTTTTCCTGGGCTTGGGACTTTTAAGCGTCAGCTTACATTTTAAGGGTTGGCCTAGATTTGAGTAAATACGTTATACACTCCCATATTCTACCAACGAAACTTCACTAACATAAGAGCTGAAATGCCTTCACAGCTGTTTTGGATATGGTTATGACAACGTGATCACTTGAATAAGGTAAAAAGCACAACTTCATTTTTTCAGATGATTTTGCGGTTCCTAGAAATTACGACATAGACTGTTGTTACCAAAATTTCAGTGAACGAAATCTAGCTTGGCTATGAAAATTTCAAGCACAAAAAAATGAAGAAATAGGCTTGCCTTCCCCGTGCAGATTTTGCAGTTGAGATCAAAGAGATGTGAACGGTGTGCGTCTGTTGTGTCCCTGCTTGATTTATCAACTGCCTCGGTGGTCGCCGTTGTGCTGCCGACAACACTCGTTACTCGTGCCACTGCAGCCGGTGGCTCGGGTTGATTGGCCACTGCTTTCTCTTCAGCTTTCTGAAATGCAAGCACAGTGTCAAGGACTAATTACGTACATACAAATGCAGCAACTCCTACAGTTCACCCATATTTCAGATTAACTATGCACTGACACCATGTCAACAATATACAATCGAGTTCGCTTATAACGAACCTGAGTCTGACGCGGGATCCGTTCGCTGTATCCCGAAGTTCGTAGTAAATGAAACACAGCTTGAAAAAAAGTTACTAGTGAAAACACAAACTTTTTTGCCCAAAAAGTCCGTGATGCACGTGTTTCAAAGAGCAGAAGCGATAAGGGTGGTTTCGAGTTCATTTAAAACGACAGGGTGCTCGTTCGCCGAGGCCCGTGGCATAAGCTGCATGAGGCATTGGCTCCAAAGTATCGTCGTTCTCGCAATCCGATTCCTCCAAATTGCTCTCGGCATGTACTTCATTCACAATCCCCCAATCCGTGCACGGTTCCGCAGTGTCGGCATCACCATCAGCCGTAATTAAACCATCGCAACAGATGTCCCACCCGCTCACCCAGGTCAGAGTCGACGACGCGCTGCCACAAATCGCTGCCGAAGTGATCATATTCGGAAGTTTCAGGCTCGGCATCGGGCCCGACGTCGATGAAGTCGGCCTCGCGAAAAGAGTTTCCCGCGCATGTAGCTGTCATCGCCGCCCACGAAATATTCACCATCTCCACAGCTGAGCACCGGGAGCCCCGATGCACTAAGCTGGCTGCCAGGTGGTCAACAGCTATGAAGAAGCGCTCTGTAACGCGGCACCTAACGTGCGGATTACGTTGAAGTCAAGTGCTCACACACTTGCGACATTTTATTGAGCAGCAGAAAAAAGCATGCAAGTCCTCCCGTCTGCCATCCTGACAACACACACACACCAAGAGCGAGCAAGACGCGCACACCCGACATGCATGCCAGAACGTGTGGAACAGCTCTGGGCCCGTCGGAAAACGAAACTAATTCGAGCCAGCGTGGCTGGCATCGCGGAGCGGTGGAGACAGGCGAAGGGGTTGTCATCAAGAGAGGAAAGCAGATTTGTGAGAGAAGGGCAGAGAGTTGCGATAGAGTGAAGAGAGGGGAGGATGTGGCGGGAGGGCGACCTTGAATACCAAAACACACGGGAAGGAGGCATGTTGTGTACCTTGCTTGAAAGGTCTGCGAAACACACAACTAGCACAAAGTAAACTTGAGAAAGAGTTTTTGAACTTGAAACCTGCACCGGCGGGTTTGCGTGGCCTCATCAACTTCAATATTTCGCAATTCGTTCCGCGCAAATTAACAGCCGTTTTCACGCTTCTGCACATGTGCGGAGGGCATGCTGAGCTGAGTGCTATGTGAGCGAGAACAAGTCCTAAAATCGCAAATTATCAGAGTCCGTGGGGTAGCTTACGCGCGTGCACTAGACGCAGACGATCGGATACAGTTGGTGGCCGACGATGTTGGCAAATGGTCTGGTCACTCCAGGCCGGGGACACCAGCGGCAGTACGAGCGATCAAAAACAGAGAAGATGGCCGACCGGTCTCTGAAAGATCAGTGGCAGTGTGAAAACACGGGCCTCGCCTGGCGATGCGGGTTGCTCACAGTAGCCAAGGGACAAAGCACGGAGGAGTGCGTAACAAAAAGCGGTCAGGGAGAGCGGCAACTAGAGAGGCGCGGAGGCAGGGTTGGCGTTTAACAATAAGAATCTATGGGCTTCTTGTCGATGCCTGATCCGTGGCCGAAAGTGATTTCCCGGGAAGTCGGCAGAGCGCCGACTACGTTCGCTGCAACCGATCAGCGGCGCTCGAAGACATTCGTTTTAAGTGCGATTTTGTGCCATTGAACCAATGTATATTTTCACGGTCACGCAGATATTGTTCATTTTAAGTGGGCAGACTGCTTTTTGGGACCAAAAAGTGACAAAAAATTCCTTTTTAAAATTGACATATTTGGTTTCTACAAGTATTTTTCTACCTCTCTGCAAATTTTCACGCACCAGGATGTAGTAATTTTTTTGTAATGTCATTTTAACTGTCCAGATTCTTGGTGCTGTTAACATGCAGAACCTGCAAAAAAATGGGGAACCGACTTTGAGGCTTCTTTATAATTTGCCGGTACCTTTGTCTAAAGCTCTGCCACCATTTATGAGCGCCTTCATGAGGATTGCAAAACATGCGCACCATAATTTGTTGCTTTTTGAAGAAACTGTGTGTTTTCAGTTTTTTCCATTTTTCTCAAAAAAGTAAATTTGTGACTATTCAATTTTGAGGCCTCAATATCTCTGCAGCTAGGGCAGGTACAACAATAATTCTCTTTGCAGTGGAAACCTGTATGTGTGTAGAATGCAAGTATGGGAGCAGAATTTAGAGCACATGCCTTTTTAATTAATTACTAATCAAAATTGTAACACAATTCCAACTGCTTTTGAAAATGTATAGTTCATTTTCCTGCAAAATAACCAATAAAGGCCTAAAAAAAAAACCTCCTCGATACTTTCAATCTATAGTCATTAGTCTATGTTGGCATATCCTAAATATCACTTTGAATTAAGCACTTTTTTTTCTATGGTGGCCTTAAACAATAGGGGGTGAACTTAAGTTATCTCAGGAACAAAGTGAGTTACAGGAAAACTAAGTAAATATTTGAAATCAGCAGAAAAAACTGCATAACCTGTGCAGTTTTACCGAGATCACCGAAGAAATAAACAAAAAATGTCTAAGACCAGTCTGGCCCCTTAAGCGAAAGTTTGTTTTAAGTGGGGCCGTTATGTGGGCTCGACTGTATTAGTGCAGCAGTGACACAGAAAGGCGTTTTTCTGTAGCACTGAGTAGCTAATGACCCCCCTCTCATGACAGCTGCAAAACTTGCTCAAGCACACAACCACCAGTTACAGTTTCAATTTCAAATAGCTTGGAGCCCCAATCAGGTATGTTTGTAAATACAGCTAGCCACATCAGCACACACAACAGTGATGCACTAACCATAAACAGCATCAGGTGCATACGTGAGCACCGCATTGATCACTGCAGGAGACTGTGCATAGGCACAAACTCATGATTAGGTCGTTACTGGTTGTTCACATCAAAACCCTTTTGATGTCATTGTCATGAGGTGTTCAGTTTCATGTGCAATAAGGGATGTACATAATGCTCAGTGCTCTGGCAACACTGGGAGAATTCGTCATATTTTGTTGGGCATTGCAGCGCAATCACCTGCTAGCATCTCCATAAAAACAGGCCACAGGGCGACATAGCTGCTCACACTGACAGAGCTTTCAGATTGGGGAAGGGGGGGAGAAAGAGAGAGCTTTTTCTTCCGGCGCTGAATGGTCAGTGAACCTTATTGTGCTGCCACGAATCGATGAGAATGCAATATCAAAGCTGTGTGTGCTTCACAACTCATCCAGACAGCAGCTTTAATACATTAGCATTAGGGGTGTGCGAATATTCGAAAATTTAAATATTTTCAAATTGTATTTGATATTCAATTTGATTTGCACAGGAATTTTGACTGTTCGTACTACCCTGCTGCAGTGGTCCAGTGGTTATGACACTAAACTGCTAAACCGAAGGACGTGGGATGAAATCTTGGCTACAGCGACTGCATTTTCGATGGAGGCCTGTGTAATTCAATTTAGGTGCACGTTGAAGAGCCCAGGTGGTCGAAATTTCTGGAGCCTTTGACTAGGCGTCTCTAATAATCATATTGTGGTTTCAAACCCCTGATATAAAATGTTCAACCACCCATATTATTATATGACTATTCAGACTTCCTAAGACAGATACAGTCAATGTCCAATTGACAGTAGCCCCTTCAGGTTTTTAATATGCTTCACCACATTACACTATTGCATTGCAGCAAAGTTGTTCTTCAGACTTTGCTATGGTAGCAAATGCATTGACTTGAGAAAAGGTCGATTCCTAGATGAATATGCACTGCACCAATACAATTGCCCCTACGTAGTTCTTATATGCTTCACCGCATCACACTCTGTTATTGCGTCAAGGTTGCCTTTAGGGCTCTGCCACAACTGGAAACCGATTTGACTCTTAAATATGCCGGTTTGAACCTATGAGGCATAAGTGGGGGCTTTCATTATTATAATGTTATGAATAAAAAGATTAAAAAATCAAACAAAAACATTTAGCGTAAAAAATTTCATATGTTTCCATACATTGATCCAGATTAGCAGCTCCGAATTCAAAGGAAGTGTGCCCATGTTCGCTAAATCAGTTTGGCCTCCACAGAAGACGGGAGAGTTGGAGGAAACGGTCGTTTCCTTTCATATGTAAAGTGTTCTCGACACCACACTGGCTGCACCAAATCATGTACACTCATGATTCAATGATGATGCTTCTGATTTTGCAGCGTTTGAAGTGCACCGAAGCCGCAGAGCTTCGCATTCCACCATTTCGGCAGCGCGAAGCAGCAATTCGGCGTATACTTCTTCAGTCGCTCGGGTGCACCAAGCATATCGCCTGAGGGCGACCACTCTCGACTATTGTCGTGGCAGTCATTCATGTGCAGTGAGGTGAAGATGAAGTCTAAATGTGCGCGTCTGATTCACCACCCGCAAAAGATGTGGCATCAGCCTTGCAAAACGTGCGTGTGTTACTTGGCTGTCACAATGTGGGCCGAGCAGCTCTTCAATTTGCGGAAACCGACCCTGCTGCGGTCCACTGAAGCCTTTGCGTGAATCTTTGCGGTCGACAATATTCTGCTTTTGTTTCCGCCCATCCCGCACGCACATTTTGGGATTTCTGAACTACCGCGATGCGGCCCGATCTTCATTCCGTTTCTGCACACGCGATGACTTTTCTTTTAAAAGCAGCATCGTGGTGCACTCGTCGAGTTTTTGGAGTCGGCCCTTCCATGCCGTCGATGCTAATGCACTACATGATGATGAACTCCTCAGCACACGTACGAAGTGCCGCACATGGGAAACACATAGGCAGAAATGGCCGACGCGCCATGCGGACGCACGTTGGGGGCGGCCATTTTGGAAATGCCGATGGCAATACAATGAC